AATGTGGGTTTAAAGACATTTCAATTAGTAGAAAAATTGCAGGAGGGAATATAAAAAAAAGTCTAATCAATCAAAACTTTCGCGACCCCCATGTAGTACCTCTGCGGACCCCCTAGGGGTCACGGACCCCCTGTTGAAGACCTCAGATGTAGAGAAATAAATTAGTCGATACATAAATATTTAATTAGCTTTATTATCAATGGCCTCATGAAAATTTGATCCGTCTCCTTGTGCTCAGATTGACCCTGAACTGTTTTTGGTGCACATTGGTCCCTGTTTGGTTAACATTTTCTAGAACCGCCACTGATGTTAAGTTCAAAACGTCACCAACCTCCAATTGCTGCAGGTTCAACCAGACTACTGACTCTGGATTAGAAAAATATACCAGCTACCACCAAAAAGTGTTTCCTTTGTTTCTTTGTTCCTCCAGTGACTCAATGAGGCAGAGTTTAGTTTTTGTGAGTTTCATATTGATCGAGTCAGTCAGGTTGGCAGACGGTGTTATTGGTGGGAAAGAGGCTCATTATTCCCGATCAGAAGTTAGCTCACTACTAAACCTTTAGTCCATCTTTCATAAGGGGTGCATAGAGAGGCATTACTCTGTCTATGACTAAAGAAGCATTCAGATCGCTTCCCTTTCATGTTTGGCGAACATCAGCCTGAATGTGAGTGCGTCATCTCTTATCTGAAGCTCCACCAGCGCCAACAATTTTGACCAGACTTCTGTGAAGAACACACCTAAGTTGTTTTCTCTTAAAAAGCACTTGCTATGTAGACTGCACCCACGCTCGCCCAGCAATCATCCTCTTCTCACGCTCTTCACCCTCCTCTTCTCTTCCCTCCCGCACACCCACAGATAGCCTCGCTCATTATGCACCTCATATTGTCGGCAATCGATAGAGCGCTGGCAAGAAAAAAAGGAAGATCCATATATGAACAATTTCTTTTTTTTTTTTTTTAACCACAGATATACAGAAAAGAAAAAGGCTGAATAAAATGTTTTACAGCGGAGGCAGGTTTTCATTGCATTAACACAAATAGAATACACAGAAGAAGGCGTCCTATTGTGATGCGGTAGTGGCGCCACACAGGGCGAGCAGATAACATGTGAAGGAGAACTGATGATCACTGATTACTCATAGAATAAAATGAAACCTTATCGCATGGATTCAGGGGTGAATAGATCAGAAGCCTGTGGTTTAGCAGAACAGAGTAACACGTCGCCATGAACAAAATAGAAAACGATGTATAACGAACCATAATAACTTAAAAGAAACATAACAGAAGCCTTTAAATATACAACATGTGAGAAATCAAAAGTCTGATTTTAACGATGCGGTTCTAGTTTCAGAGGTCTCAAAGGTAAACTGTTCATGTGGTTGCTTTGGCAGGGGAGCAGCAGGAGTTGCATTGCTCTCTGTAACCGAGTCTATGCAATGTCTCTTGTTCATCATCACTGCTTGCGTCAGTCTAGCACTCCAGGAGGAAAACACACAACTTTAGGCACAGTTCTGTGTGTAATGAGCGATGGCTCCCGATTGGTTTCTGTGGCTGAGGCCTCTTTCAGACTGAGGAGAATCAAAAGATCTACGGCTTCTTGCTGGAGCAGGACTTGCAGCATTGCTGTCCATAGAACCTGTGATTACAGACGCCATGTTGGGGGACCAAGTGGCACCAGTTGAAGTGATCAATGCAGCGGTCACCTGTCGGCAGAAAAAAGAAATAGTTTAAGCAAA